TGGCCAGTTACAGAAATTGGTAGTTTGAAATGGGGCCAGTGTCACAGATTTCTAGGGCCAGAATTGTAGTAATGTCTTAGATTTTTATTAGCAAATGGAGGAATGTTTACCAGAATTTCACTGTTAAGTCCCCTGCCCTCTCCACCTCAGCACCTGCTTATGGGAAGTTTGCCTATATTTGCTAGCTACTAGAGGAAAGATTATTTTTTTTAATTTATCTAGATAGAAATGGTTTGGACTATTGCTGTAACTAACCACTTTGGTTATTGATGCTATCCTTTGATGAGCATTGATGTCACCTTCTACTTTGGATTTGATTTAAAATTTAAATTCTTCACTGGTTCTATGAAGTGTGTATATCCACACTAGATGAAGATACTATACCTAGAAGCTGGCAAAATGAAGCCAGGAAGAAGATAACTTCCCCCTGTTCTTGGTGAGCCAGTGCATACTTAAGTATATAGTAGGACATGTCATGTTAAAAATAAATTCTTATGGCTAGATGTTAGAGATTTAGAAGGGTGAGATGGAGGTGAAATTTAGGATTATTTGTCATTTCAATGAAAGAAAATAAAGTGAGAAATATCAGAATATTTTTTTAAGGCTTGCATCCCATGGGAATTATGACCTTACAGGATAGAAGAGATTCCTAGCATTCTTTGACTCAGAACGTTAGTACTGGAAAGAACTAGGAGACATTTATGACTCCTTATTTTACAAAAGAGAGATGGCTCAGAGAATGAGTACAGTGTCCCAGATCATCTTGTTGAAGCAATATAGAGCACCTTCAAGGATCACTATATAGGTTCACTATAGGAAGTACAGTGCTGCTAAAGGTTCAGGCGTGGGAAGAAAAGAAAGGTGCCACATTTTATATGCTGCCCAGTTACTTTTATAGCTCAAGTTTTCTTACCCAGGTTTTCTCTGAGCTATCTTTATGTCTGTCCAGTTCTACCAGGGCCTGTTGTCTAAGGACATTAGCTTGTGCTCCCCTCAGGGATGGGTTTACTACTAGTTGTCAGAAAGCTATTGGGTATCCTAATGTGTTAATAGCTGAAACTCAGCTGTAATATTCTCCTAAACCCGTCAGCATTTTGCATTCTGTACATTGTGGTACTTATTCCACCTTGTATTGTTATAACTGTAAGCTCCTAGGGGGCAGCAATTGGTCTTATACATGTGTACCTGTTAAGTGCCTGGCAATAATCATGTATGAGCACCCTAATTTTCCTTTTCACCTGCTTACCTCATTCCCAAAAGTGATGCTCCCACCATCACTGTTTCCTCTAATAAGCCAGGCATTGCTGACCCCTCTCAGCTTCCAGTGCTTTCTTTCTCTCTTGTTTGAAGATACACTTTAATTGCACTCCCCCTATGATCTCTTGCTATCTAAGTAATTTTTAAAAGACTCAGCTCAAGAGCTTTTTCTTCTTTCACCCTCCTCCCCAAGAGAACAGATTTGCTACAGGAAGCAGGGGAATCCTGCTGTTAAGGCCTTGTGCTTTTCACCTTGAACTTAAGCTTGTGCTCACCTCATCTTTCTATATATCCTTCCTGTTTGAGAGTCTGCCCAACTTTCTCTTTAAAATGTGTTCCTAGAGCACTTTATACTTCTCATAGCACGTAACTTATACCGTCAACATAGACTTAGAAAAATTACTTGTCTGTTTTACTGCCTTATTAGACTGTAAGCTCAGAAGCTATATAGAGTACAAGGAGTGTGGAATTAATCCTTAAATTCCATCAGAAGGTACAGTGGCTTATATGGAAAAGGCCCTAAATGATGACTCACTGAGTTGAATCACTTTAATGCATTTCTATTTTCCTTTTCACAAGGGAGACGTACATGGAGATAGGCCTTAATTTCATAAATTTGAGGCACTGACATTTCAGTGGAGGAGATTGTCAAGGGTAGACAAAGGAGATTGTGGGTGGGTGGACACAGGAGTGGGGAAGGGGAGACATTCGATATTTTGATCCATTCCTGGCCTGGATCATTAGCCATTTTTTACTGATTGTGGCTCATACTCCTGGCATTTTGTTTCTAGTCAGAATAATTTTATGTGCTGATTTTCACCAGCCTCCACCCTCATTGTTTCAATTCATGACATCACCCATGAGACAAGTCTGAGTCTTGCGTCCTTTTTTTCCCTCCCTTCCCTCATCCATTCGCTAGTGAAGTCCTGTCAGTTCTACCTCAGCAGGCTTTCATGTCTGTTTCCTCCTCACCTGGATAATTTTAATAGCCTTTCAGCTTCTCATCTTCACCCCCAGTCTACTATATACACAAAATAGATTCATCTTACTGAAACATAGCTCTGACCATGTACCTCATGTATGTATTCTATTCCCCCTCTCCCCCACAGACTGTAAGCTCCTTGGGGGCAGGATCTGTGTCTGAGTCATCATTGTATCTCCCATAGCACCTATCAATAAATATTTCTTGAATGAACAAATGAATTTTCATTTCTCAACATAAAATTTTTGTTGAAATGATATTTCCAGGTTTTCACTCAGCCTTTTCTTTGGGGTAATTGGAAGGACTTTTTATGTTCTCTCACATAGAAAGTATAGATCATGACTACAGTTAACCACAGAAAAAATTTCAGAAAACTTTTATTTTTTTTCCATTGGAATCAGCGTGGGGATGTTTGTATGGATGGTTTAATAAATATACTTTTATATACATGTATCACAGAAATTTTACATTCCATCTTCAAACTGCAGAAATAGAGTTTTTGTTTTGTTTTTTTTTTACAAGCCAAAAAATAACTGCCATAACTTTTATGACATCATGCAAAAAAGAGGGGAAGGGGCAAAAGGGAATTGCTTATTTAAGGTTAAGAGTTCAGTAAGAAGTAAAAATGTTACATTAAGGAAGCGATTGCTTAACACGCTGCTTAAGGTGGTAGCCAAACAAATCCTTAACTGCAGCATTAAGGCCATACCAAGTTTATACATATATACAAAGAAATTCCCATATAAAAGACATACTATAACATTTTCTTCTGGGAAAGGATGAGCTTTGTGAGTAATTTGGACCCAATTTTCCAGGCCAGTTAATTATTTAAAGATGTCTCCAAGCTACTTCTTAGGAATTCTACAAAGTTGCTGCTATGTTGGTGAGTTTTTTTGTTATCCCTCACATGGAAGTATAAGTTGTCTTAAGCCTTTTCCATAATGGATGATCAAGCACTTAACTAACACACTGCCTAGCCATGTGTTAGTGCTTACATTTCTTGCCAGAAATATTTGGAGTCATGGAATTAGAATTGTTAACAGCAGTCTTGTCTTGTCTATAGTGTCTGTATTCTGTTCTTTGGGGGTCAAAAGAACTCCTTGACTAGGGTATGAATGAACCAAACTCAGGTTTCAGGAAACATCCCCTAGCAGTTGAAAGATAGTATCTTACTTATCCTTCAGTTTTATTACACCTTTAATTTGGCAGTTCACTTTTTTGAAAAGTAGTAAATGTAAAAGCACTTACAGAAAAGACACAACCTGGGCATTTCTCGTCTGCTTAAACATCAAACCAGGCAACTTTTAAGACAAAGTGTAGTAGATCTTTTGTGCAAATAATCTAAATGGAGAAAAATGAAAGACGACAAGTCCTTTGGAGGTGGCTTCAGTTTATGTAGACGTCATTTGCTTTGGCAAGGCTGAATTGAGATTTAGAGATGGCACATTCTGGTTCTTTCTGCCCAGACTGACCCATCTTATAATTAGTGAATGAATCTTAAGTTTTTCAAAGAAAAATCCAAATGGAAATTCAGTAAATTATATAAAGAAAATGTTCCTTTTCTCCAACGACTGATTCCGTGCCCATTTATTTTATACTGTAACTTGTTTTGGAATGTTTGCAGTCAATCTAATATATAGTTTTTTGTAATGTTCTTTTAGCTATGAATTGGTTATCTCTCTGCAGTAGTCCTGTTCATGTCTGTTCTGTGGGCTGGTTTCCAAGTGTGTCTCCAGTGTGTACAGAACTGGATCTCTTCCTACAGGTTTCCTGGATCAGTCAAGCATAAGAATGAAGTCTGCAAATGCTGTCTTTGGGGGGACTAAATGATTTGGAAGCAGTTCAGTATAATTGGTTGAACACTTGGACAGTGAGCAATCACTATCCCTTCCAATCTTGTACCAACTGCTCTTCCTTTTGATGATACTAGCTGTTTGCATTAGTGAAACTAACAGCAGTTCTGGATAGAGTGATTTTATTCAACAGGTTATTTGTGATGCGGATCCAGACAGTGGATTCCAACCCATAACAACTCTTATAGGGTTTCCGAAAGAGCAGTTGGTGGGTTTGAACTGCTAGCCTTGTGGTTTGCAGTCCCATGCTTATTGTATAGTACTACACCAGAGGGCCTTGATGACTTTGTTGTGTCTTGATGACTTTGTTGTGCATTTTAAGTCTGATGACAGTAGCTGAAGGTGTATGTCCTGACCAGTTTTTAAAACTTTAAAAATGGAGCCCTCTGAGGTTCCTTGAAGTTAGAACTCTGTTTAGCCTTTCTTTTCTTTTTTTTTGAGAAAGCTGCACTGTGATGGCTAATCACATTCTGGCAGGCATCTTATTTCATGCCCATTGTACTTAAAAAGCAAGAATAGACCCTTTGGGAATTTAGTCTCCTTATTTTAATTATTGGTAGTACAGAAAATAATATGACTTGTGACTTGGAAAATTGGACCATTGAAATATTAGATAGTATGAATTAAAATGTTTAAATATTGAAATGTTTTGTAGGAACATAAAATTTTCTAGCCTCCCACACCATTCAAGCTAAATAAGCATGTTATACCTTTAAATGAGGTTGAGATGTGTATAATACGGAAAAGTTAGAGTTTAGCATAAATTATTTGATCCGGCCGTAAGCACTACTTTTAAACAGATTTGAGGCGGCCTTTCATTTAGGGTCAGTGATACTTAGCTTCCCTCTGTCACACAGTATTGTAAAGACTGTCCCTAAGATAAATCATTCTGAAATAATTCCTTTTAGATCTTCCGCTAAGAAAGACTTGATACAATCTAAAATATATTAGTTTTATTTTCAACTCATATTTTACTTCCCTTCTTCCCACCTTCCCATACTATGTTCTCTAGAGAAGTCATTTTAGATGCACATGAGGATAAAAAAAAGGTTCTTGATTATTTTCTTCCAAGTTTTGGTTAGTGAAAGATATATAGACCACAGCTCCCCTTTAGTAATGTCTTCGTAATACTAAGTATATGCTTACTATGTGACAGAAAGGATGTTAAGAGCAACTTTTTCAGAATCATTATAGAATAGTGAACTTGTGGGAGCCCTATATGCCCTTTCTACTGCTTCTTCAGCACGAAGTAAATCTTTCAATACTTGAGTTGAGTTGACCTTAACACAAGGATAGATGAGTTCCTATTGGAATGTATTCATACCTCAAAAATCCTTGTCATTTCATTTAAAATTTGCTTGATTAATTTTTAGTATCGGGGAATTCATGATTTCACCGTTATTCCTGTATTTTTCACCTTAAAAATTGAGATCCATTGCTTTTAAAGGGAAGAATACATATTTCTTTAAAGATGTGAATTTCTAGTATCGTATCTACTCTTCGAGATAAAAATAAAACAAGTACAGGGAAATGTCAGCTAATAGGAGGGAGACAGAATGAATAAACCAGCCACTTTACCCAAGAGGAAAAAAAGTCCTGTTGGTTTGTCTCAGGACTGCCATACTCAATGGATTATGTTCCTTAGTTTTGCTTTTAAGTTGGTTACGATGTTCTTGATCTATCTTTCCAAACATGTGTCCCCTTCATTATATTTTAACCAAATTTTTCTTTCTGTTTTTTTTTACCTCTGAATTCTTGCTCATGCTGTTCCCTCTGCCCAATGCCATTCCTCCTCCAGTATCACATCTGTTCTTTAAGCTACTGCTCAAATGGCATTTAACACCTTGAAACTTTCTCTAATTGAGTTTTTGCCCTCTACAATCCTCCTGTTACATAATTCCTGCATTTTACTTTACATTTTGGTACTTCTGACCACAAGTTCGATTTGAACTGCAAGGTCAGCAGTTCCAACCCACCAGATGCTTTTCTTGGATGCTCTGGAGAAAGGGGGCTATTACACTCTGATGTCTTGCTTCATTAGTGTGCTGACTTGTCTTAATCTATTTAATAAATACATGGGAGGATGACAGGCAGGTAATGTGAGGCTAAAAAGATAATTAAAAAGCTGGAAACTATTGGAATTTAATAGTTGAGTCTTGAGTATGCCACAAACTTTGAGACCTCCTTCTTGAACCTGTTCCAGCTCATTCCCTGAAAGGCTAAGCTGCTTTCTCCCAGTGTAGTCCACAGAACCTGCCTTGGTACTAGCAACTGTCCGAAGAGTACAACTTTGCTCATCAACATCCAGAACTGCATAAGGTACTCTAACCCTTGACACTCATTAGCATCCCTGTATTGCCAAATACCCAGTGCCTTGTCCCATGAACTGAGCTGTCTAGTTTTTAGGTTACCTACTGGGTAGTTAAGCTAGAAACAAAAGGACTTGGAGACAATTAGCAGGAGAAACTTTTTTTGATTGATTCACACCTTGCCCTATAATTATATTTTCCCATTTCATTTCCAGATGGGGTGAAGATTATTAGAAATCCCCTTCCTAGAATTTCTGCCATGCTGTCACTTCTGTTTCATTTGTATTGATTACCCTTTTAAAAGGTGGGTGAGAGGAGATGTCAACTGTTAGGATTCAAAATTCAACAGTAAGTTACTGTCACAAAAAAATAACCTTTTGTTGGAACTCTGAGCTTAACTGCCTGACCCAAGAGACTGTGAGCTATGATTTCTCCTCTCTGAACTCACTGCATCTTTGCCTGTTTCTCTGTTTTCATATCTTATCCTGAATTCATTATTCTTTGTATTTCTTCTTATTTCACTAACGTGTTACTATAGTTAGGGATGGTGCTCATCTTTGGTACCTGTGCACTGCATTGTTTGCAGCAGACTCTTAACCCGTATTTGTTGAGTAAATGATTAAAGGGATTCTAGACTTAGGAAAGACTTCAAGAGAAACCCTTGACCATAACCTTGATCCCATCCAGAGCCAAACCATTTCAAACACACATTCTCTTATGTAGGGCTATAAACACAGACTGTTCTCAGTACTCTCCAAATAATCTTCTAATGCTACCCTGCCCTGTTCTTAGTCATTTTACCCTTCCATTCACTTCTATAAGGAGCTCTGGTAGCACAGTGGTTGCTAATCGGGCTGCGAACCTCAAGGTCAGTAGTTCGAAACTACCAGCTGTTCCGCAGGAGAAAGATGAGGCTTCCTACTCTTGTAAAGATTTACAGCCTCAGAAACCCTGTACGGGGTCATACGGCACATAACAACATTCACTTCTAGCCAGAATATGGCCCTCCAGTATCAACTCCAAATCTTTTGTATATCAAAGACTGGATTCGTGGTGGTGGTGGTGGTGGTAGTGTGCCGTTGAGTCGGTTCCAGCTCATAGTGACCCTGTACAGAGTTTCTTACTCTGTAAATCTATGGGAGCAGAAAGCCTCATCTTTCTCTCTAAAAACAGCTGGTAGTTTTGAACTGCTGACCTTGAGGTTATCAGCCCAACTCATAACCACTATGGTACTAGAGCTCCTTAAAGACTGAATTAGTAGGTTCTTAACCCTTGAAGGCAAACTATATAAATTCATCTTGTTTATTTGAGAAAAGGAAAGGCAAGTAAGGATCTAGTTCTCGATCAGGATGTTTGATTTTTCAGTCTAAGGTATTCCTTGGCTTTTGACAAACATTTGTATATTAAGTTCATGTTTTTATCAATATTCATTTAAGACAATAAGTCTCATCTATATCCAATTAAAAAAGAATATTTGTTTTTGTTGCATATGTATACATACATACATATAATACTGTTTTTCAATGACAAAGTAAATTACCATTTATAAGTAGGTAACTAAGGTCACACAGGATGAAATAATTTGTTAAAGGTCAAAACCACAGATAAGAGAATAAGGTCAACTTATGTCAAGCTTATTTTCAAAACTTAATAGCTTACCATTGCCTGTGTCCAAACTTGGTAAGGTTTTAACTTGAGCCTCGGTTTCCTCAGAACCATTCTGGGAATTAGATTATAATTTACTAGAGAGCTTGGCATATGATTGTTGTTGTTGTTAAGTGTCGAGTTGGTTCCGACCCATAGCGACCCTGTATAGGGTTTCCAAGGAGCAGCTGGTGAGCTTGAGCCACTGACCTTGCAGTTGAAGCGGCTTTGCAGTCTGGCGCATGAACCCACAGCGTATATGATGGTGGTATTATTTGAGTTGGTGTTTTCACAGTGTTACTGACTGACATGTGAGTGACAAGCACACACTGAGAAAAAAACTTTTTTTTTTCTGAGGTAATGAGCTGCATTTTTACTAAGTGGTGCATTCCATTTAGTTGATAACTCAAATGATACTCTTTTGAGGGAAATGGGATGTAGATGCTTGTTCGTGTGGAATCAGGACTAGAATTCAGGTAATGAAACTGAACTGGCTGTTCTGTAGGACAGGTGGATTTGACTACTTAGGAGGACACCTCAGTGCTGACCCAAAAAAAAAAAAAAAAAAATCTCTAATGTCTTCTGGCAAACAGGAAGAGGTGGCAAGAATTTCAGAGAATGAGAATGCTGTGCAGTTTACAATGGGGTGGGTAGGGTTGACATTCACTGTCATCCTCTTCAAACGGACTACAGATGTAGATATTGTTGTCCCCAAAATACATAAAGTAGCTGAGGGTCACAGAGCTCAAAGTCACATGAGAAAATCAATACAGAATCTGGGGGAAATCCACTTGTATTTTTTTCTGCAACTAAAATGCAACTAGAGACATGGCCTTTAAAAGAAATTTGTGGCTAGGGGAGTCCTTCAAGATGAACTGACTGATTACTCCTGTTTTATGGAGGAGCACTTGAAATTCTGTGAAGGAAAGAAATACAGAAAACATTTTACAGTGAATACTTCCATACCTGCAGGACAATGCGCTGGACTGCAAAATAGGTTTGAACCGCAAGGTCGGTGCTTCAAGCTCACCAGCTGCTCCTCAGAAACCCTATACAGGGTCACTATGGGTGGGAACCGATTATAGCACTTAACAACTTCTTTCTCCACCACCTAGGCTGTACTACTATCATCTTACTCTTCTTTCTTTTACACATCTATTCACCCATCTACCCAAGAGGTCTTTTTTTTTTACCAGGGACAAAGAAGGAAATGAGGACATGGTGTTGAGGCAGGGATGGAAAACAACCTGTTCATAGTATGCTTTCCATTTTATTTTTAAATTAGCATCTTTAAAAATCCGTTTTTATTAGTTGATTCTTAAACTTGGGAACAAGAAACAAGTTTCTACCTGCAGTATTCTCATTAATTTCAGGGCCAGATGAAGGGAGGAGAGTGAAGATTGTCACAGTGCCACCCTATAAACATGAAGGAAGTCCATTGATAACATAGGATAAATGCAGACCTACTGGGAAAGACAAGAAGTGGCTCCTGACTATAGGGAGTGTTTGTCAGAACCACAGGAGTGTGGAGACAATTTCAGAAGCACTGCTAGGATGACGCTTTGTTTAGGGGAGGGCAGGTGGAGAGAGCTGGCCCAATTCCAAGCACACCTGCTATATATTTCTTTTTATTAGTGCAATTTAGCTGGTGGTATGGATTTAGTGAACCCCCAGTGATCTAAAGTGGACCCACTTATTTTCTGTAACGAACAAGAGGAGAGGGACAAAGGAAAAATATTTAAAATCTTGTTGAAAATTTGTTAGGATAAAACTGGAGAAGAGTGTGGATACAGGTTTGGAAAAGACTTGGAGTCATTAGCGTTCTTCTCCTCGGAGTATTTCACAAATTCTGCTCTGATGCTTTTTGTTGTTTCTTCTAGAGGCTCTGGCACAGAGAATTCAAACTGCCATAGGAAATGGGTTCCAGCATTCCAGGGCTTACAAGCTAAAATTCCAGAGTGAAAGGT